AACGTAAAACTGACATCCTCACTTGCGTGGTTTGATCTTAAAAACCACTGAAACCTGTTTTTTGTTTTTTTCCTCTCCGGTTGTGATGGCTTGATCTTTTCATGTAGAGCTTCCTGAAAATCTGGTGTCAAATCGGAGGCATTAAAAATAATTAAAACGGCACTTGTTTTTCAAGTATGTTTGAACACCCACTCGGCACAAAAACATGATAGCATAGTGCACTCCAATACAAAAAAGTTATGTGGGAGTACCATGGTAAAGAGTTGGTATCAGGTGGTAAAAATGTTACCACACGTTAGTACCACGATCATTTTTGGTGCTAAAAATGCACAGTTGCATGAAAAAAAGAAAAGAAAATGTTTGTTGAATAGAAATTTGTGTTTGTGAAATCTCGACACGTTCACTTTCCCCATCCCCCCTCCCCATTTTTATCTGTTTATCTTTCAGTAAACACCACAAGTCATATCGGATCAGATTTCAAACAAAAAAATATTCACTATCACCACAGACAGTTTTTTCTATCTCGATAGTTGTCGAACCACAGGTTGTTTATACCTCTGTTTCTGTGGTTTGTACAGCTCCGAATCCAGGACTGATTCACGTGTTTGCAGCACACGACGAGTGCACAAATACTAGGGTGAAAATTTTAAGTTCTTTGTATGGCAAGCGACTGTTAAATTGTTTCACAATGATGACAACTTATAATGGGCCAGTTTCACAGATTCGTGTCAAGAATTCGATTCATTTTAGTGAATTGTGGTGGTTAAGTATATGTTACGTAAGATCCATGCTCCATTGCATCATATTTTCCTCTATTTACTGTCTTCCTGCAAACAGACACCTGCGTAACACCTCCAGTGTAGATGTAACAAACAGCACACCAGCCTTTTAAATCATAAAGTTATGTATTTCGTTTTCTTTTTTTCTTTTTCTTTTTTTTATATAATACTCAACATTGTTTTGTTCTTAACCAAAAAACTGATTTTTATTATTTATTCTGTCCTGTAACATTTTAAGCCTGGTTTCTCTAATACAGCTTAGAATCTTAAAATAACAATAGTAAACAATATGTATCACAAGTAATGAAAAGAACATAATCCAGTCCATAGTCTGAAATCTTCAGTTCAATTCTTTGTTTCTTTTTCTTTCTTTCTTTCTTTCTTTCTTTCTTTCTTTCTTTCTTTCTTTCTCTCTCTCTTTCTCTCTTTCTTTCTTTCTTTCTCTCTTTCTTTCTTTCTTTCTTTCTTTGCAGTTCCAGGGTTTAATTCATCAATAGAACAAGTCTTCTAAATCCAAATCAGCAACAGTACTAATTAGAACTCAATGAAATCTCATTGTCAACCCTAAAAAAAAAATCTCAGTCACATGTTGTTGTGCAATTGAGGTTTTGGCCAAAGAGATTCGTTTTTGATAATTTCAGCATATCACATTCCATAAATGCATACGTATGGATTAAAATCACAGTGTATGTTTATGTAATATGTATTTTAAAATAAGTATCTGCCTTTTTGAAGTAATTCCTTTCCTGGGGAAAGAAAGGTGAGAGACTCTTGAAAAACATTTCATTAGCTCTTGAAAAACATTTGATCGGTTTTGTTATTTATTTTATTTTGTGTATTTTATTTGATTTTTTTCAAGAATATTGCAGGTTAAATAGAATTGATTTCAGAAAATTATCTGTGAAAGATTTGTACAGTTATTAACAACTAAAAAATATATATTTGAGTATTTATGCACTTACAACATTCTGTCATTTCTGTACATGTTTTTTTTTTGTGTGTGTGTGTAATTTAGATGCAAAATGAGTTTAATGGCCAGGATGTGGTAAAGGACAGGATGTCACGGATGCTGTCGAAGTATGTTGTTTTCTGTTGTATTGAGAGTATTGTACATGGAGTATTTCTTTCATTTTTATTCTTGACTCTTGATTTCATTCTTGATTGTTATGGAGTTTAACATTTACATTTATTGATTTAGCAGACGCTTTTATCAAAAGAGACATACAAACTGAGGACTATGATCACAAGCAATTTGTCATAAGAGCCAACAATATTTGGTGTTAGCTAGATTAGTGCATGAGCTAGAGCAGAAGTGAAATGCAGAATAGAAAGAGAAAAGGTGTTGTTGTTGTAATAATTAGCAAAATTATTGTGTTAGCAAAAGCTGAAAACAGTTTGTGACGCCTTATAAGCTCTGATTCAGATGTTGGTGATACTTTACAGTAGGTTTGTTGAGTAGATTTCAAATTAGTTAATGCTTTAGGTATCATGAACTAACAATGAGCAGTCGTTTTTACAGCATTTCTTTCATTTCCATTCTTGACTCTTGATTTCATTCTTGATTGTTATGGGGTTTAACATTTCATAATGCATTAACATATGTAAACTTTTTAGAAATCTACTAAAAACTATCTATACCCAATCTATTAGTGTACATGCTGTAAAGATAGTTTCATTGTTACTTTATGTGAACTGTTGTGTTAGCCAATGTTAATATACAGCTTTATTGATAAGTGATACATAGATGTGATGTCACTCTAATGGTAATATGATGACACTTTTCCACTGTAACAAGCTGTAAAAAGCATGATTTGGTTTATTTTGGGTATTGCTGGTCAAGTTATAAAATGCTTGGTTGTATGTAGGTTGTAGTTTCTACCCACACATATGCACACACACACACACACAGTCTTAACACCTACCTAAGACCCCTCAAACACCCAGTCTTTGTGGTTATGCAATTCGAGGCTGTTTTCTTGTTTTGCTCGAGTGTCAATCCCTCCCCCTTCCCTTCACAGAGACAACTGACCTTTACCAGATAAGCGCATTACGTGTCTCATCGGCCCACTTCATACTTTGAATTCCTGTTCTGATACAACATCACATGCGGTCTGTTCTTAGTAAGTTTTGAGTACTTTTTTCAACTCTGTGTTCTCACCTAAAACATCTTGCATCATAGTACAAGACTGTTAACTGTCAGATACCAAACTGTTAACAAAAAGGTTGTGCATGTAGCTGTGGGCTTGTAAGTGAGGCTGAATTGTTGGACAATCATTAGTGTTCATTCTGCTTTTTGGTGACATTTCGCTAGTTAAAAAAAGTTCCATTTTCAATAGTGTAGCTGCACATTAAAGAAAGAGTTCACCCAAAAATGAACATTTACTCACTCTCAGGTCATCCAAGATGTAGATGAGTTTGTTTCTTCATCTGAGCAGATTTAGAGAAATGTAGCATTACATCACTTTCTCACCAATAGATCCTCTGCAGTGAATGGGTGCCGTCGGAATGAGAGTCCAAACAGCTGATAAAAACATCACAATAATCCACATGGCTCCAATGAAGGGAGAAATTATGTGTTTGTAACAAACAAATACATCATTAAGATGTTTTAACTTAAAACTGTTGCTTCCGGCTGAAATACAAATCTTCTATCCAAAATATTACTTTCTCTATTGAAAAAGTCTTGTCATCTGAATCAGGAGAGAAATATGCACAGATCGAGCACCGTTTGAAAACAGTCCAAAACATTTCTAAACAAATATATTGGTGGATTTTGATGTGAGAGGACAACAAGGGACGGACTTTTTTCACTGGAGGTAGTGTTATTGTGGATTAAGGAATTGTATTTTGGCCAAATTCATAAGAATTGGCACTTTTTTCTTTCTTTCTTTTTCTTTTTTTTTTTTTGCAGAACCCCAAACATCTCATGCAAATTATTAAAATGAGTGGGTTGATTTACACTTTAGCTCTGTGACACTATCAAAGCATTGTTTGAGCATCACAACCAACCTATCACAACAATATTGACTCCTTCACTGTTGTGAGTTTAGGGCGGGACTATCTTTTGCAGAACCCCAAACATCTCATGCAAATTATTAAAATGAGTGGGTTGATTTACACTTTAGCTCTGTGACACTATCAAAGCATTGTTTGAGCATCACAACCAACCTATCACAACAATATTGACTCCTTCACTGTTGTGAGTTTAGGGCGGGACTATCTATTTGATTGTGTCCAGAGATCCTGTTTGAAATCAGTCTCGTTTTTTTATTTTTATTTTTATTTTGTATGGTGATTCTAGTGATGCAGAAATTACAAACTTTAACTGTGGTGTATATTTGCCTGATAAAACATCAGTGGCCTGTGGTATGCTAATACTGGACAAATTTTGGTGTTGCTAAGTTTTGCTGAAGTGTTGCTAAGTTTCAAAATAAATATTGTATGCATTCTAAATTAGACGCATACTTATAAAAGATTATGAAAGTACAGATTGATGCAAGATGCTTTTCCCTCAGTTCATTTTTTCTATATAATTTGGGATATCCTTACACTTCAGCAGAGCTCATTTGTCAGTGCATGTGGATTCTTGCATGCATGCATTCATGCATGTGTTTGTTTATATGCATGTTTGTGTGTATCGTCTGTGGGTATAAAAGTTTGTGTGAAACAGGATGTGGTCCTCATCAAACTTTTGTGCTTTGAGCACCGCTCAGGCGCTGTGTCGAGCCCAGCATGGGGCCCAGGGGGCTAATATTTATACTCTCATCAGAAGCCGAGAAGTTCAGTCTTTCCAGGCCTTTTTAAAAACTTGCAGCTCTAAAATCAAACTACAGACTGTCACAAAACTATACATACTATAAGTACTCAAGACATAACAATAAAACAGACATAAATAATAAGAATAAAGAATAACACCCTTGCAAGAATTGCACCCTTGAGACGGTCTTATTTCTCTGCAGGCCCTCTGACCTTTTGATTTAGCGTTTCATGCTTTGTAAACTTGTCTGAGTAACTCTGTGGTTACGCAGTCATACAACGAGCAGAGAGGAAGAAGATGCATTTGTCAAGAGAGAGAGAGAGAGAGCAAGAAAGAGAGAGATCGGATGAGTAACAGAAAGGAAGGAGTATAGTGATAGAGAAAGAGATCCTCCTGACAGATGGAGGTAAAAGGGGAGGGGCAGATAGAGCAAGAGCGATAAAGGGAGGAGGATGAAGGGTTGGGGGTCAGGTAGACAGACAGACCTCAGCATCCATGGTGCCTGCTCAGACAGCTGTTTGACAGACAGCTGAAGTCGAAGGGTAAGTCTTATACTTCCAATATTAAATAACTGCTTGGTTGAGCAATGATCTGATAAGATCTGACCTAATCCGACATAAAAAATGACGTAATGTCATGTACACTGACCCTAAAATATATCTGAACACTTAAGCCGCTGTTAAAAATGAATGTCATTGCATTATATGTCAAACCAAGCAGCATTCATTTGGAATTTGTTGATAAATCATTAGATATACTATTGAAGACTCAATGTATTGTGACATTTTGTAGTTCTTAAATCATTCTCGAGCATGAGGACCAGAATCGACTTCATCTGCTAAAAATCACCCTGCTGCTTAAAAGTAATCGCAAAATGACTAGTGAGTAATTGTGAGTAGAATTGTAGTTCTGGGAAAAATTCTAGCAAAGTTTTTTCGCAGATGCCACTTTTAGCCAGATATTTTGTTTTCTAATGCAACAACCTACATTTTTAAGAGTGACTTCAGGGTCCAGATCATTTCTGTCGTCACTCATTAGTAAACAAATTAGTGGTAAATACTCATTATGCATTGATAAATAAACGTTTTTTAACTGTGCACTTGCAATGTACAAGTTGGTTTGTAGTAATCTTCAGGTGCTCTTTAGAATAACCCAAAAGCTAGGAAACGCCGAAGCATTTTGTGAAACCGAGAGTGTGAACCATATGTTTGCAGCGATCACTCAGATCAGGAGTTGAGGTTTAAACCTCTGTGTCAAATACACTGTATCCAAATTACTTGGCAGCCACTTTTAAAAGAGTTCAAGTGAAACCGCATCGTCAGTGTTTGCTGTAGACTGTCCTGTCACTGTTTGATATCTCTCATCGTTTTGGCCATTGGTATACAAGTACGCCTCTTTACAAGAAGTCACCTTACGGTTATAGCTGAGGGTTTCTGCTGTTGTCTGTGGGTGTCGTTTTGTAGTGTTAGTGGAAATTGCCTGTTTACAGGTTGACCACCCACTCACAAAGAGGGGCGTACTGCTGACAATGGCCCACTCAGCAAAAGAGCCACCGGTAGCTTGCATCATATACACAGATCTAAAACTCATCTAAAGTTCATGTCAAGAATTTTGCAATGGAATTCATTATGCGTGCTCTGCAGTTTACCGTATTCTTTGGGCAACATCCTGTCAGGTAGAAAGCCACAGCAATGCCATTTAAAAGTGAAAGTCTGAATTTTAAAAATTAAAGCTCCTTTGGCTGACTGGCTGCTTGCATTATTATGCAAAAATGTTACCTAAAATAGTCAACGATTATGTACAAACATTAAGAATCACTTAAAGGAAATATAACACCAAAATGAAATTGTTATAATTTACTCACCCTCATGTAGTTCTAAACCTTTTTTCAACCTTTTTTTGTTCTAGACATTCTTCAAAGTATCTTCTTTTGAAAGTAAGAAAGTAACTTGTATAGGTTTGTAACAATATGAGAGTATGGAAGCCTGTTTATGCCAGGGAATAAAAAAATAAATTAAAAAAAAAGGTAATTCCAACATTTTATCTCGCAATTCGTACTTTGTTTCTTGGAATTCCGTGAAAAAAGTTGGAATAGTGAGACATAAACTTGCGATTCGGTGCAAGGCAGAGATATAATCTCACAATTCTGAGAAAATAATTTAGAATTCTAAGATAAAGTCACAATTACAAAAAAATAAGGTTACACTTTACTTGAAGGGGTGTGCATAAGACTGACATGACACCTTCATAATCATGACATGACACATGTCATGAATATGAAGGTTTTTTATGCATGTTTATGACAACTGTCATTAAGTGTCATTCGCTCAATTATGTAATTTTTAATGCAAAAATAAAATAAAAAATTCAAGATGTAAACTCAGAATTCTGAGAAAAAGTTAGAATTTCGAGATACAAACTCAGAATAGTGAGACGTAAATTCAGAATTGCGGAAGAGGAAAATAGTCAAAATTTAGAGTTGCGAGAAACTTGAAAACAGGCATCCATATGAGGGTGAGTAAACATTGACAGAACTTACTTTAAACTAACATTAAAAGGATAATTCATCCAAAAATTTAAATTCTGTCTATTTTTTTATACTATGGAAGTCAGTGGCTACCATCAACTGTTTGGTTACCAATATTCTTCAAAATATTTTCTTTTGTGTTCAACAGAATAAACAAACTCGTACAGGTTTGGAACAACTTGATGGTGAGTAAATGATGACAGAATTTTCTTTTTTGGTTGAACTATCCCTTTAAACTTCAGTGCAAGTCCTGTTCACGCCAAGGACGAAAACTATAACAATAACGATAATATTGACAGCCAATTAAAGCTCAAGCATTTAAAGCGTCAGATGACATAACTGAAGCGCGTGCGCTTATACAGTAAACAGACCGTTATCGTCCACACCATAGTTATTGTTCTTGGTGTGAACGGGCCTTAACTGTGGATTTAAAATAATGCAGCTTTGTGAGGAAAGTTGTGCTATTACCTATATGTAAGTGGTTGGCCATACAATTTTGCCTTGCGGATGATAAAACGGATAGAATATTATTCTTTCATTGCATAGATTGGATTGTTTAATCATCCTATTTCAGTGTGACTAACCTAGTCTTCCTTCCCAGGAGCAATATGGTCTATTTTGTGCATTTCTATATGTGTCATTTTCAGCCACAGGTAAAAACCAGCTACATTTGCGGTTGCGTTCTTAGTCATAGTCTCTAGGGATGCACCGATACCACTTTTTCCAGTACTCGCCCGATACCGATACTTTTATTTTTGGTACTTGCCGATACCGAGTACCGATACCAATATTTTATTGCATTTGTAAATTTTTTAAATATTGGGTACAGAAACCAAAAGAGTATGTATAATGTTAGTTGGTTAACTTCATTTATCAAATAGATACAGTCAAACCAAAATATATTCAGACACCTTCAACATTTCTCACATTATCACAGTTTATTCGCTATAGTTTAAAAAATGGTAATAAAATATAACAAGAATTTAAAGTTAAACTTAGTCAGAACAAATTCAGCTTGATAATGTCACATAACTTTGATAGAAAGGTATGTAATGGATTACAATAAACCAAAAATTATTCATACAGCTGTCAATATTTACAAAACTTTCAAAACTTTGTCGGGTGACCCTTAGCCCTATAGTGTCCTGCACCCACTAGTAAAAAAATATCAAAAATTATATCTGGTCTCTGAATCATTTTTGGTTTCACTGTATATCCTTCGGTTATTTTCACACTTAATTATGGCCATTAAAATGTATTTTACAAGTTTTTGTTACTTTCACTGTTCATTTTTTGCTCTATGGTACATCATCTTTAATTTAATAGCATTAGAGCAGCGGCTTAGTACTGTAATCACGCGCTTTGCTGTAATAATGCAGGGAACCACTCGTTATAAATCTCCTAACTGTGATATTTTCAGAAATAGAAGTCGCGTTTTTTCATCTGAAACGTGCTGCGATTTATATTCCAAAGCCACTCATATAATGCAGAAACACTCAAGAAAGCAAAACGCGCAACGCGTGCAGGTATTTGTACGGATACAGAATAGTGCAGCCTAGCGCATTTTACACAGGCTGCTAGATTCACTTTCGCCAGAAAGTCGTGTATGCCTAAGGTTGAAAATAAATGATGTTTATAGTGAATGCCCCTATAAATGGTCTTATTTTTACGATTTAGTTTTAATCCAAATGATGCGTGTGCTAAGTGAGTGAACATCAAAAATCACACAACAGAATTGCACGCGCACTCGCTCTCTACCGTTAAGTAACTTGTGCATTGTTTTACTTACTTGTTTTTGACGTATCCGACCGAACTACAAACTTTCCAGTGATGTCTGTGAGAAAGGTATATTCACTGGACAAGCTGCCTGCTCAATCCACTCAGCCTGCTTTGTTTATCAGCTCGCGCACATCAGCTATACAGTCAATACTGAATGTTTAACATTATATTCATTGCATACATATACTTCGTAGACATCCTTAATCTCTAATAACTCCATTCTGCTGTCTGTTGTTCTGTTGTCGGTGTTTCATTGTCTGAATATGGCACTTATCACATGCTGTGTGGTATCGGCGTTTGTTATCGGGCCATTTTAACGAGTACGAGTACAGGAGCTCAGTATGGGTATCTGTGCATCCCTAATAGTCTCCATAGCGACAGTTTGAGTTATTAACAGAACACCATAAATCACATTATCTGATTACCACACTAGATATAATCATAGAAATTGATATTTAGGCAATACATTAATGCAACCACAGTCGTGCTGAATTGAGACCAAGTGTTAACCTCATACACTCTTATAAATAAAGGTTCCAAAAGAGTTTTTTCGCAGTGATGCCATAGAAGCACTAGTTTGGTTCCCTAAAGAATCTTTCAGTGCAGTTCTTAAAAGAACAATTTAATATTCTAAAGAACCTTTTTCCACTATAAAGAACATTTTGTGCAATGGAAAGGTTCCAAGGATGTAAAAGGTTATTAGATGCCAAAGAGCTTTTATATTTAAGATTGTAAGAGACTTCTAAAAGCCAGATTTAGAGTTAAAATGCTTACAGTAGCATGTGTTGCACTTATGGAGTGTGCATCATGTATTGATGGAATATTGAGTGTTGATATATTTTTGAGTGTTCAGTCACTCAAAAAGTAAAATTGTCATCATTTCCTCACCTCATGTCATTCCAGGCCTTTTCTGTAAAGCAGAATGTTTTTATTTTAATGTTTTTATTTATTTTTTTTATTTTATTTTTTTTTAAGAATTATGTTTTACATGTGTGTTTAAGATCCAAGGAGTGATGAAGGATTACTGGCATATCCCTCTGTTTATCTTCATCATATTTTATGGAACTGGCCAGTCCAGGAACATGCAAACAGGTACCTAGCAAACACAGAACGTTCCCCTAATATTAGTATATGGTTCCCGTTTAGATATTATATTTTTACAGCCATAAAATAATGTTCCCAGAATGTTGCAGGGAGTATTTTTAGACAACTTTAAAATAACTTATACAGAATGTTCCCTAATAATTATTTGTAGCAGAACATTCTGCAAACCTAGAAAAAAGATCATTATATTTATATAAAAAAATAAAAAATAAAAATAAAAATTTGTTTTGTAATGTTCTGGGAACCAAAAACTAACATTTTCAAAACGTTCTGAGAACCAATTAATGTTAGTTTGGTATATTTACGTCCATCTATTTTGTAGGGAACTCTGTTTTTTGCCCATTTTGTAACGTTATAAATATTGAAAAACAAAGCATATGTTTTCTAATCTCTTATTATGTTTGTCTTGGTTCAACCATAAACAGCAGGTCTGGCCTGTGTGAATGACTACGTGACGAACATTTCTTGTGTGTGGTGGAACTCTACAGATTTCTCCGGCCAGCGATGTGAGCTTGTGGGGAAAAGTGACACAAAAAGGTTTTAGTTTCAAGTCTCGGAATGGACCATTTTAACATTGATAAATAAACCTTCTCAAATCTGAATTGAATTTAAATGTGTTTGTAGATCATGCGAGCTGGTGCCACTAAGCAGTCAAACACATCCTAAAAGAAGTTGTTCTTTAAATTTTGACAAACATGTGAGTAGAAATGGATGAAATTTCAGTTAAATTATTATTGACACTGATTAACATGTATTCTCTTCCTACACTCCCCTCTCTTTAACACAGAACTTTTTTTTCCTTAACAAAATCTGGTTGAATGTAATCTGTAATGGATCTGTCATCACTAAACTGCATTATCAGCCTGGCCGACACAGTAAGTGGAAGAATTTCTGCTATTAATAGGTTGTAGATATGTTTAAAATGCCAGGTAAATGTAAAAATACAACACACACACACATACAGTACTGCAGTAAAATAAAATTCAACAAAGATCATATGCAAATTTGTGTTGAAAAAGCGTGTGAACTTCAGTCATTTGGTTTGAGAATGGTCTTTTTAATCCTTGGCACAATTAGACAAACTCTTCAATAGGCTACCTTTTACACAAAACATGGCATTTAGGAGATAAACTTGATCAAAATCTATAATAATGTGATAAATGGAAACAGTAGGCCTACTAGTTCACCTCTTTTTGTACTTGTTTCTCAGCGATTGCGACTTGCGTTTCAAGTGTCTGTTCGGTCACGCGACAGGCGAAATATGCACTCTGACAAACTTTATCTTTACACCATTGAAATGTAACGTATATAACGTGTAGAATTAAATGTGTTTATTACACATATCCAGTCTTTTATATATATATATATATTTTCTGAGTTTTGTGTATATGCGTGTGTGTTTAAGCCATTATTAGAGGATTCAGTCACCGCAAACCCCCCATAATCCGTATGATGGTTGCTATGCAATGAATTTAAGGATGCTACTTGTATTGTTTACATTTAAGCATTTGTAACTTACATCACAGTCAAAGTGTACACCAGTCCCTGCATTCCTTATGAACGAAACCCATGGCTTTGCTGTTGCTAGCACCATGCTCATTTTAAATGTTCTTCATGGTTGCTTGTATTTTTGTTTTTAAATGACAGTTAAGACCCAACCACCAGATAAGCCCACTGTAAGCGGGGACAACATAACTTGGAGTAAAGGCAGTAACTTTCCAAAAGCCGTAGACTCTTATGAATTTCAGCTGCAGTTTAAAGCCACATATACAAGCTGGGAGGTAAGTGAGCATTCGTGTTTGATTTACATGTTTTCTTTAACATTTAACTAATTATTTAATGAAATAAAATTACATGCATTTCAATCTTTAGTAACCTGGCCACAAGTCAAATACAGCATAATTTTAAATGTATGTTTTTGTGTATGATTGCATATTTTTGCATGCTTCTGCGCTATAGACGGCAGCACATAGGAATGTCTCTCATGGAAGTTACGTGCTGCTGGACCATAATTTACTGACTGTAGGAGAAGAGTACCAGGCCAGGGTACGTGTGAAGCCTGTTGAGCCCCAAAATGATGGTTATTTTCGGGGGGAATGGAGCGACTGGAGTCCTGCTGTGTCCTGGAGGTCTGAGATTGGAAAGCCACCAGTGAAACCAGAAGATGATGCATCTCCACCAGGTGGTGCTTCTTGCTGGCCCAGTAATATTTGTCTGTGAGTTAAGATGATAATATATTTCATGACAGCATTTTTTTTTCTTTGTTTTAGTACTTGATGATATGCGTATTGTTCTGATCATTGGATTCCACATATTGCTTGTTCTCGCTGGTCTTTGTTTGGTCATCTACAAGGCAAAGAAAAGCAACCGGTGAGTATTAGATGTATATGTGATATGTCTTGATGTCTTCATGGCCCTTTCTTTATTTAGTAACATCCTTATTGACTTTTTCTAGCTCAGGGCTGTCCAAACTCGGTCCTGGAGGGCCGGTGTCCTGCAGAGTTTAGCTCCAACCCTAATTAAACACACCTGAACCAGCTAATCAAGCTCTTACTAGGCATAGAAACTTCCAGTCAGGTGTGTTGAGGCAAGTTGGAGCTAAACTCTGCAGGACACCGGCCCCCCAGGACCGAGTTTGGACAGCCCTGTTCTAGCTCCTCCTCTTTGATATATATTTAAATTTTTACATTACATTTATTTATTTCAACAAATGAATGAAATCACACAAGTCTGACTTTTAAACAAGTTCCAAAGTTTGGTAACAGAGTTGCAAAAATTTCCAACCCCACAGAACACGAGCAATAAATAATGCACACATTTTTAGTTTGACCCCCTGAGGTGGAAGAACAACATTTTCTGAAGTTTAAATCCTTGTTATTGACTCTTTGTTGGAGAAGAACAAATATTTGACCTCATTTTTTAAGACGTTCAAGCCCTAGTTTTTACTCTGTTTGTGGAAAGTGCTGTGTGGGCATGTGTCTGTAGGTGTGTGTGTGTTTCTGCCTACAGTATTTCCGTGTCAGTATGTTGGTGTTTTTACCTGATATTTGTGTTTGTTTGTGCATCATTATCAAGCATTATTTCTTTGCAGATCATTAAAACCAAACAATCGACATGTTCCAGACCCCTCCAAATATTTCCAGCCTCTTCACACTGTTCATGGTGGAAACTTCCGGGTGAGTTCAGTTTTATTTCCTGCATGTGCACTATGCTAGTTTCCAAAGTGCTTGTGTTTAATTTGAGGTCAGTGTGACTTTTTAAAATGTTTTTGAAAGAAGCCTCAGGGCTGCATTTCTTTGATCAAAGACACCGTAAAAACGGTAATATTGTGAAATATTATTACAATTGTAAAAAACCTTTCTATTTTAAAATATTTTCAAATTTCATTATCATTAGTCTTCAGTGTCACATGATCCTTCAGAAATTGTTCTAATAAGCTGATTCGCTGCTCAAGAAACGTTTCTTCTCAATGTTGAAATCAGTTGTTCTGCTGAACATTTTTGTGGAAACGGTGATACCTTTTTAATTTGAAATAGAAATTCTATAATTATATTATAAATGTCTTTAATGTCACTTGTTTTGATCAATCTAATGCATCCATGCTGAGTACAAGTATTAATTTATTTTAAAAAAAAAACTTTTGAATGGTGGTGTATACTGATATTGCTATTTTCACCAGTACAGTGGCAATTCATTCTTTTACTTTCTACATTGTGTATTCACACCAAAAAAAAAAAAAAAAACATTTTACAGAACTTTTGAATGGTGGTGTATACTGATATTGCTATTTTCACCAGTACAGTGGCAATTCATTCTTTTACTTTCTACATTGTGTATTCACACCAACACATTTGAGAATACATAAGTGTATAAGAATAAGAATAACATTCTCAGTTTCACACATAGTTCTTCCTATGCAAAAACTTACCCATAAAAACTCTCACACACACACCCATGTTAACAGATGTGGCTGAAACCTGCATTTCTTGCAAATGCCTACTCATATCTTCTTGCAGCAAGCCACAGAACACACACACTGACCGCATGCGTTTCCTCTTACCTGTCCACAGAAATGGCTGGGCTGTCAGAATTCTGTTGGGCCATTTCTCACCCCTCAGTCATGTGACGATATCTCACCTGTAGAGGTCTCAGATTTTTGGGACGTGTCCTTGATAGATCCAAACGCTCAGACGTCTGCTGCCGCGTTCGTTCACTCCAATCAGGTGGACTCTGGACTGGACAACAGCGGCACTAGTCATGCATCATCATCTGGTTTCTCTAACACGGGCTACTTCTATAGCAAATCCAATACAGGCTCTCTTCATCTCGAATCCTGCCCCGTGTACTTCACCTACCACCCTGAGGAAGGCACAAGCTCCGCTCTCTCGTCGCCTGGGTCTTCATACGACTGTTTGCAAACCCCAAGTTACCAGACGGAACTGCCCATGAGCCCAGATTCAGGGTTCGACGTGCCTGAAGAGGAGCATTGTGAAGATGAAGACATCAGTGGCGCGGAGAGATGTGCGGCAGGACATGTGCTGGTTCCCTTCATTATGTCGCTGTCACAGGGTTCCCTTGATGCTGTTCACCCAGTAGAGAGTTTCACTCCAGTGGCCGTCATCACACCGTGGTTTGAACCTGTGAGAGCACCCAGTTGCGTTTCCACCGCTGAGCCTGCAGAGGGCGCCGTGATCAGACCCTCCTCCATGATTGAGCCCAGCGGCAGTGGATATCTGACCCTGAAGGAGATGCAGAAATACAGCAACAAATCCATCTGAACGGAGGCCTAGTCCGTCTCTGTCTGTATAGAGGAGACCGGGGTAAAATAAAACTCAGGTTAGGTTTATTTTTGAAAGTCAGTTTCTAAACAAACAGATAGAGTAAAGTTCGAACGTTTGGGGTCAGTAAATATTTTAATGTTTTTGAGAGAAGCCTCTTACACTCACCAGGGCTTCATTTATTTAAAAAAAATATATAAATAAAAATAGTAATATTGTGAAATATTATTAGAATTTAAAAGAACTGTTTTCTATTTTTATATATTTTAAAATTTCATTTCATTCCTGCGACGGCAAAGCTGAATTTTCAGCAGCCATTACTCCAGTCTTCAGTGTCACATGATCCTTCAGAAACATTTGTATTATTATCACTGTAGAAAACAGTTGTGCTGCTTTATATTTTAGTGGACACCGTCCTTTGTAACATAAATGTCTTTACTGTCACTTTTGATCAATTTAATGCGTCCTTGCTGAATTGCTTTATTAAAAAAATACACTGACCCCAAACTTTTGAATTGTAGTGTACCTTGAAGACTTGGCAAAAAAAAATAAAAAATCTATTGAACATTTTTAGAATTATTATTCACGAAAAACTGTTAGATACCTTTGTACAGCGACATGATAAGCTAGATTTAAAGGCATCTTCTGGGTTGAACACAGTTTAAGCTCTATTTGAATGTCAGTCAGTCTGTAATAAGGACGATATAAACTGTGTGAATGAGAGTTATTGCAGGTAGCATGTGGTCTGACATTTATAAGTGCCAGCCCGTTTCCGTTCACCGCTGTGGAGCGCGGCTTGTGTAACCAGACGACAAGTCAAGCTTATCTTCCCCACGTGACCTGAAAATTTTTTTTTTGAACTCAGTGAACCATAACAAAGTATTTTTCTAGAGAAGGAGGAGAAAGAACATCAACATGCTTTTTGACTTTATATGTGCCTATGTGACTTAAGTTTTTGAGTATGTTGTTTATGATCCCTGCCACACAGCATCCTGGTCCTCCTCATGTACAGTAGCTGCTCCTGCCTGAATTTGAACATATTTGAGGAAACTTGGTCTAACTGTTGATATTTCCACCAGAAGGCAGCAGAGAGATCATGACTGAGGGATGAATTAAACAGAGACATATCGGGGAGGTAACAGACCGCTTGTAGGAATATGAATATGAACAGTCACACCGTCAATGGTGTGACTGTGGAGAGGGTGAGCAGCACCAAGTTCCTGGGTGTGCACATCACAGAGGATCTCTCCTGGGCTGACAACACCGCACTGGCCAAGAAAGCACAGCAGCGATTTAATCTGTATCTATCTGTATTTATGTTTTACTGTTAGTGTTATCTGTATGCACCAAGGGTCTGAGAGTAACGCAATTTCAATTCTCTGTGTGTATGTGCTGTACATGTGGAAGAATTGACAATAAAGCAGACTTGACTTGACTTGACTTGAATGGGATATACTGGAATTATACTACTGTATATAGCAGTTTTCCCGCCTTTGATACATACACTGCTGTTCAAAAGTTTGTGGTCAGGATTTTTTAAAAGAAAGAAATCAATGCTTCTATTCAGCCATAATGCATTAAATTCATCAAAAGTGACAGTCAACACATTTATAATAGAATAAAAGATTTCCATTTCAAATAAATGGTTTCCATGAAAAGATTAAGCAGCACAACTGTTTTCATCTCTGATAATAAGAAATGTTTCTTAAGCAGCAAATCAGCATATTAGAATGTTTTCTGAAGGATCCTGTGTGACTGAAGATTGGAGTAATGATGCTGAAAATTCAGCTTTGACAACAGAAATAAATTACAATTTATATATTAAAATAATAAACCGTCATTTGTAATTATATTTTATTAGATGGAAAATAGCAGCATGGACATTGTGCCTACTATCTGTTTTTGTGTACCACAGAAGAAAGAAATCCAAATCGCATTTGAATGACATTGGAATGGGTGAGTTTTTTTTTTTTTCATTTATTTATTTAATTAGGGACAATACACATTAATAATACATAAAATCAATGTAAAATGTTTCAGATTTAGACAGAGTGGCTAATTTTCATTTGTATAGTTCCAGGGCAGGTTGATGTGGAAGCAAAAGAAGAAGAAGAAGAAGAAAAATCAAACCACAATGACTTTTTATACCTTTTATACCTTCTGTTAGAAGTCTATTCTAGTCATGTGTTCCTCTCAAGGAAAATGATGGGTGAACTACTGAGCCATTGAATGAGTGTGAACTATTCCTTTCATTTCTGAAATATTTAAACATTCCAGAAAGTTCTTACTAAACCCAGTAAGAAAAGCTTCATAATAATGTTTTTCACAGATCCTGACATTAACGGAGAATAATTATGCTTGCAAAGCTGCAGCGGAAAATGTTGGACAACAATATTGAAAGGAAAATGAGGCAGCAGATGGAGAGGAATGCAGCACGGCAGCAGCTTTTTGTCAATCAAAGGTCAATGACAAACCTTAATTTTCTTTCCATATGAAGAGAATGAGATGATTACTATTGCATAAGTAACAGGAATTCAACCAGTGACCCAGACATACTAATGCAAAACAGATGAGTGTGTGAAGGGTGTGTGTTACATTTAATGTTTCCAGAACCTCAAAAGTCCATCTTTTATTACACTAAATTTTTTAATGATCCATATGTGTTGGAAACATAAAGCCGTACATGCAGTATTGGCAGTATCATTTGTGAGCTCTATTATTAATGTTGACACTTAGACTACTCCAGTCATATATTCTCTTATTATTTCTATTGCCTTGCACTATTTAAGTTACCTTGGAAAACTACATTATTCCAAGCAAAAGTAATCACCTCTCCCCCCTTCCACTATTTATTTATTCATTTATTTATTTATAATTATTAGAAAAATACTACGTTTCTTTTAGGTTATGAGGAAATCTAGAGTAATTATAATCCTTTTTTTTTTTACATAAAAAATACATGAGTATCATTTAAATATAGAATATAGTATAGCAGGGTTCCTCAATTAGTTTTTGCCGAGGGCCGAATTCTGCCAAAAATACCAAGCCAAAGGCCACTGACCTACATATATACAGGTCTATTTATTTCAGTAATTCAACTCAAATTGTGAAACTCTTTATTAAATAAATTCAATGCACACAGACTGAAGTAGTTTAAGTCTTTGGTTCTTTTAGTGTGCTGTACATGTGGAAGAATTGATAATAAAGCAGACTTGACTTGACTTGACTGTATATTGTTGCTTTTGTTAAAATGGTCACAAGATGAATATTCAGATTTTTACTCCAGTAGTCTGTTTTATTCAAACAATTATGAAAAATGTGAGTTTGGATATTATTTTGCGTCATTTTTATAGCCATAGTGAAAGCAAAAATAGATATTTTACCTCAGATCTTTAAAATAAATTAAAGCAAACTTGTACGTTAAAACTGTGAACTCACTGCGAACCAACATCTGATGCAGCGTTTGAATTTTCATGCCACATTATTTGAAATTAGGCTGGCCAAACTTTTTTCTCTCACTCCCTGATGTTGCCCGTGGGCCGCCTATTGAGGAACCCTACTTAGATAAGTAAATGTGTGTGTAGGTCAAATTTAGTATAAACTGGGGGACCAGCCGATGATTGAATGAGAAAAAACAGCTTAATAAATACACAAAATAATGTTTTAATGAAAATGTAAAAATGCAAAAAGATTAATGGGTTTGGTTTAGGGTTAGCTCAGTATAAAACCAATAAAAATCAATGGAAACTCCCAACAAATGTGCATGTTGAAATTACTATTATTAGTAAGTTGTGCAGACATTTTTCCTGAAATTCCTTTGTGGGAGATGAACACGGGTCTCCAAAGATGGAAAAAATCTGTGTTTTTCATGTAACACGCCGCATCCTGCTAACATGCGTGCAACAGGACATATTGAGTTTCTGTTTGTGTGTGCTTATAAATGTTTATGTTCACAAACATTGTGGGTTTTCACATTGTTCACTCAGTTCTAATGTAGAGCAGGGAAACTTTTGAAAGAAACAGACATAAAGTTCTCTTTCAGAAAACAGCTTGTTTGGACATAGAAAGGTTTCCCTTCTTTGAAACAGTTTTGACTGTCATTTTATTTTAGAAAACGAGTAAAATAAGTCTGTCTGAGCTGGCAGGCTCATTGTGTGTATATTCAGGAATGGGATGGAAGAAAGGCATTGAGGGTAAATGAGAAAGGGAGGGAGAGAGAAAGAGGGAGGGAGAAATAAGCTCCAAGGATTTTTCCTTTTCTTTTTCTTTATTTCTCTTCTCAGCTCGCTGACCCAACTGCAGCTGCAAACGCAACAAGTACTGTAAGTTTTGCTTACACACACACACACACACACACACACATGCACTTACAATCACATCTGAAAGATCAGATATATTGTGCTTTATAGTTCATTTAGGCTTTTTATAAAGTAAAATGAGTTTAATGGCACTTTTGTAACCAAAATGGGCAGCCTCATTAAGATGATCATTAAGAGTAAGTTACAGTGCTCAGAAAGTTTTTTTTTGTTTTTTTTTGCAAGCTAGTTAACATCTTGCTAGCAGCTGGACAGCATGTGCAAAAGCGTTCTTTCTCTGCCACGGCTGAGATCCGCTGCTGATGTATCCCACACGCCTGCACTGCATCTTTTACAGTACAGTAATATAGGAAGACAGACTTAATGCGGTTATTTTGTTTTACCATGTTTTAGTAAAGGATTCAATTTTGTTGCTGCAGGTTATTAAAATCAATAGCTGATTTTGATTGTTACACTGAAGTTAGAACCGGGGTCTTCAACCATTTTCAAGCTGTGCTAAAATGGTCATTGCATTTTAAGCCTGGTTTAAAAAAACCTGTAGTACCACATTCATGCAGTTGCATTCTTTATTATAATGCCTACCTGGCAAATCCATTAAAATAATCATTATCAATGTATATAGATTCACATACTTGTACATCATATTTTAATTTAGCTTGATACATTTGTACTGAATTAAAAAATTTAGCCGAAATTTTAGCTTATTGTATTTAAAATGCATTAATGTCATATGCCTTCATTTTTACTAATTAATTAATTAATTAATCAACTAATTAATATTT